AAAGGAAAATCTAACATTAGTTTTAAAATTTAGGTTTGCGCATGCGCAGTTCCAACTTTCTTATTTAGAAAAGCATTGAAATGAAACTCTTCTTATAAACTGAAATTGAAGTAGCACGTCAAAAATGGATTGCACATGTGCAACGCTATCTTTCATATTTGTGACCGGATTTTTACAATTGTAACAAAAGTTGCATCTTACAAATAGGAAATGAATGCAAATGGAAATGCGCTTTATGTAAATCGTTTACGATTACTTTTTAACTTGTTACTATTTCTGAACGTGTTTTAAACTATCTTATGTTAAAAACACGCATTTGTAATTGAGGATGACATATCCAATTTTTGGAATAGATAACAAGAAATGGTCAGAATTAGGTGCTTACCTACGGTAGTTTTAACATTGAAAATGTTTATGGTTTTGTGTATATAGGTACCAAGTTACGAGTTTCGTTCAAGCGGAAAAGACAACGGTGTCGCGGGTTAGGAAAATTTTACGATTTTTTCGTTGGCGAGCCATAAATTCCCGTTAAAAATTAGGATTAAGTTACGGTTTCTACCAACTTAGTATAGAAGTGCGTAATCTGGGAGTGGGAATTCTGTAAAAAAATTTACATAACTGAAAACCTGGGTAGAACGGTTCCATTCTTTCACGTGTTGGGATTGTAGAAAGAAAACTTTAAAAGGATCTCAAATTTTCCTTATTTGGAGAAAAGCGTTTTTTTCGTCCCACCTAATTTTGTAATTTGCATACCTATTAATCTAAGTCAATTTCTTAATCATTGAAGTTTCCGTGAAAGGTGGCAAGATATTTCCGTTTTCAACCTTCCACGTGCACCTCTGATCAATTTCTGAAAAAATAATAAAAACCTTCCTGCGAATGCTGATGACCATTACCTGTTTTCCCGACTTTCTATTTTCCTTGTTATTTGTTAGATTTGAATTCAGCAAGGAACAAGTTTCATCCAACGCTAGGATGCCAGATCCGCTGGTAAAAATATAAATTTAAACTAAAACGCTGAATGCATACCACGTTCACAAAATGTACACCATTGGCCGAGATAGATACTAAATTTGATTCTGTACACCTCGTATGCATGTATTCATATTGTAACTCAAGGATGTAGGTTATGTATGGATTTTTGAATGCAAAATCATTTGATGGAATAAACAAATCCTCAAAATTTGATTAGATAAGCGAGGATTGTTAAAAATTATACTTCAACTTCCTTTTTTGGAGGTAAACTGATTGAACAATTGAAGTCCAAACAATCAAAGCTTCGACTGGAATTTTCCCGCTTCCTGAATCCAATGATTGGAAAAACGTCCCAATTTTTTAACCGAAATACGATGCAGTAGCATGATGATGTCGTCAAGTAAAATTTTATACGAAACGAAGTAATTGTACCAGATAGAGTAAGCAAATCCTTTTGTTTAAACGGTAAACATGTCACATGGCAAGTTATACGTTTTCGTATTAAATTTGATTAAACACAAGCTGTGAATAAAGGACAAAATACAAATTAAGTGCAAGAAGTGAAATAGTGTTTCTGAGATAATTAGATGCTTAAAGCTCGGTAGGCATTGTTCAGCAAGATAAATAAGCACGGAGGTGCCTGAAATGTATGCAAGCTTAATATACAATCTCCTTTTCAAATGGTTCACAATTCTCATTGTTCCAAAAACAATTCAATAACACTGCTTAACTGTTTTCATAATAATTAAATGTAGCGCGCGTAACTTGCGTGTAGTTATTTTTATATTCACCAATCGGCGAATTACCCATTACAATAAACGTGGTAGTTACAAATTTTCTAAACATACACAAAACAATAATACTTGGCAAAAGGAACATAGAACATAAAGTTGGATAATTGTTTGAAACTTGAAAAGTTGAATTAAACTTTCCAGCATCAAGTTATAATATTACCGCTGAAAAATATATGACGAGATCGTAACTTTACCAAATAAAATTATAACATGCACATTAGAGCTGCTGTGAAAGGGTCGTGTTTTATTATTAATGTTGTCAGATCTCGTGATAGTGGAAAATTTTGAAATTTATTCCCCGATGTCTTAGGATATTAGTGTCATATTAAACATAAAGTGCACTGCATGCGATGTCTACTCCCTTTATTGAAACTGCAACCGTAAAAACCGTCCAAGTAAATACTATCTACTGCTCTTTTATATTTTGCTTCCCATTTACGTGCATAGGGAGTAAAGAATGTGTTCCGGTATCGTTAATACGTTCGAAATGACCAAATCGGTATGCACGAACTTGCAATGCTCGCGATTGTAATGCTGCGGGTATACCACATGCAGTTTATACTACCCTCAAGAGCATTCCGGTGGTACGGTAATTGCACGACAACTTGCTTTTAACGGAACAACTGTGTTGTACGCCATTTTCCATACAAAACTTCTTAGACAATTATTGCACTTATTATTGTTTCGAGCCAAACAAAAAGGGATTCGTCCTTGTTTTTTTTTCGTATTTTAATGCAGAAAGCACGTCGGTTACACGTGCAGCTGTTGCCAAACACTAGCAATTGCGACAATAATTTGCAGGTTTTAGAATGCAGCTCTCACGGAGTAAAAGGTGTGCATTGTAGTTACAGTCACATTTAATTAAATAATTTGCTCTTCACCGCTCTTTCTAGTTGTTCTGCATGTGACGGTGAGCGAATTGAAAACTAGGATAAAAGCTAATTATCGCCAGGACAGACGTTTTCACTGCACTTATATCATCTAAACCAATTGAAATTGATATCGGCATTATAAAAAAGAATTATCCCATACCTAATTATCTCTGATACCTATTATTGGCCAATGGAATGCCAATATCGCGTTTTTTTTTAAAATTATGTGTTATACGGGCATAAAAATCACACACGTGTACTTCCTACTCCCCCAGGAAGGGGTTTAAATCGACGAGTACGAGGTTGAGTGGCTTAACATCCCAAGAGGAATACATACTTTTGAACGATGTTATGTCGCAAATCAAACTTTACTATCAAAAAGTTAGCGTCGCCAGTAAAAACAAGTAAATTGAAAATCACAAAGTACTAATTAATTAGCGGTAGCTACGTGAAATCAAGAAAAGCAAAGCTCTACCCACCATATAATAAACAGAATGAAAATTCTTATTCAACGGAACGGTGAGAAAGAGTACGTAACTTGCAAATTAACATACCTACATGCAGTTTCTGTAAACACCAAGATCCGGTAAAACGCCAAAGGATCCCCTCAACGGCTTTACGTTTTATAAAATTCGGCCATGTCATGACGGGTTCTATGGTTTTCTCAGCCGTATTCGGTTATCTACACCCAAAACTTAAAACTCCCTTAATTAATTGTGCGACCTACGGACGTTCTAAGAATCTGTAGTTGGTCGTAATTCAAATTGATTAAGAGCGCTTTTTTTGAGACGCCTCACGGCTTAATCGGATGCTGTTTACTGCAATCAATTTCATCAGCGATCACTGATTACACTTATTTAATCTTCCGGATAATATTTCTAAATTCATGATTCTAATTCACACTCATTGTCTCTTTGAATTTTTTAGGTCGGCAAAAGGTTATCTAACTGAACCAGCGTAAACATGCATGGCCTTGCAGTTTTAATGCTCCATTTAAATCAACACAGAAAACGAAAACCTGCTAATGATGACTTAACTGAGCTAAATTCTAAAATATCTGCCCTAGTCTTCTAAATGACAGGAGTTTTCAGACGCAATAAAGATAATTGAAATATCTTGATGGGAACGGTTACAAACCACAAATTAATTACAGCGTTTATTTACGGTAACGGTAGCTGAAACACCTTCACAAAACTACTCCCTGGTCTTAGTTCATTTATTTATAGGTCCACGAACTCGCGTTTTGCTTTTCGGCTCGGAAGAAATTATCCACAATCACAAATTACAGTGGCAACGTGTTCAATATGGAAATCTTCCCTTGCCGAACTTCCTACTGCGAATTTAAATAGTTTCTGTAAAGATCCACGGCCAGTTCTTGTATAAATTTTACGACGGTATATTAAAAAAATTTTTTCTTCTCTTGAAAATCGTAATTGAATCTAATTCGTGGCCACGTTCTTTACTAGTTAGTCTGATTTAAAATAAATAAAATGAAATTACGGCAAAATTTGTTACACAAAGAATAAGTTCGTTAAATAAACACCGTAAATTTTCTTAAAGAATATCAACTCTTATAACAAACCTGCCACCCACACAAGTACCAGCACCTCTTAGAACGGGTAGTAAACCGCGCCAACCTTACTGGCATTCGCAAATACGCAATTCGCATAGAGGACGTCAGCCGAAAAGCAGCTGAAACCCTTATCATCACGATGAGAGATCGAATGAGCAGTTTCAGGTTAGCTTGGTCTACGGACTCTTTCACCATCTCGTCCGAAAAGTCGCCCCTCGAACGAAAATAACGATCTTTAAAGCTGGGTCTATGCACCACCAAACCGACAACTACCAGAGACGCCAAACCACGTTTCAGATGCGCTTTCGCATCCCCTGCCACCACAAAAATGAGTGCCGCAACGAAAGCGAAAGGAGAAAGCAATCATCTCCAACACCAAATCTAAAGTAACGCCACTACCGGCAGTGACGGCAATCGCACCATCTGCAAAGGTCAATGGCATAACTTGCTTTGGAGCCCAGGCGTCATATTACATAGGATACTACAAACAACAACAAACTATGAAATAGCGCATGCTAGCAACCCTGCGGTACCTCTCGGAAAAAAACACGTATCCACTCTTGGCAGCTACAGTGGAAAACCAGAGGATGAGCGAATCCAGCCCATACGTTGTAATGCCCCGAATTGCTTCGGAACAAAAGTGACCGATAGCTGTACCCGCGTGCCCACGGAGGAAAATGCCAGGGTTCGCAGTTTGTCAGAATTCCAAAGGAAGATATCACAGCTAACACTGCTAACAGGATTTATTCTTTATAATAATTATAAACAAAAGTATTTGGATTTTTATAAATAAAATAAAATGTCTTCTTTGAACGCGACCCAATAGATGTGGTCGCGTCTATTCTGTGGTATGGTGGCGCCGCGCCGTCGCCTTGTTAGTTGACCCTGGACTTGACTTGATGTCTCGTTTATAGTGCTCTCTGTAATTAAATGTTTAATGGTATGGTGTTTTAACATATGACATAAACAAGTGGTGCTATTGATAAATGATAAGGTTTGCAGTAAACAGCATATGGGTGGTCACAATCGTTTGTACTTGGTCCAAGGTTACATACAAGCTGACTACAATCGCAAAAGAATGCGTCGGAGATAATCCAGTCCGGTTCACACCAGCCTGAACTACTTCAACCCTCCAGGTACAACACTGGCTTGCGCCGTATTTTCCCTGCCTTTTAAAATTGTAGGTCGTTTTAATACGAGCCGGTTTTCACCAACCAATATTAAAACCACCGATTTCTGCAGAACCTTGTAAACAAAAATAGAAACGAGAAGTGACGTTTGGGAGCTTAGTACAGTCGTGAAGCGAATGAGGATCAGTCCGTCTCCTCTGGTGAATTCGCCTTTTATTTCCACCTAGACCTGGAGGTGGAATTGGAAGGGCTGCCTGCGTACATAGAATGTGCGGTAACTGATATGGGGATTAAACACTAGCACCACCTGTTGGTAATAAATTAAAATTCCTCTTAATGGAATTAATTAAATTTACCCTTACAGGTCCATTACAACGTGAAAGAGGAAGAAGAAGAAAGAGGAACGATCGGTGTTTATTATATGCGTCAGGCGATATTTCTGCATAATCCTTTCTAACATTTTCTGGCCTCCATCAGCCACTATTTGAAAACACTTTTAATTTCCGAAAAGGGAAAGGAAAGGTGAACCTAAATTTTTTTGGTGATGGTGAAGACACGTTTTCACAAATAAAATTTCATTTGACACAAGTTCCTCTTTTTGTTTGCTCACGGAAAAATTCCCGAAGTGATGGTGACTTTTTCTTTGTTTACTTTCCTTACTAGCACAAATAATCATTTTTTAGGCGTGGGTTCAAATAACACGTTAATTAATTACGACCGGAGATATTTAATACGCGTGCAGTTATTACATTAAATCTTTTACTACCACTCGCATGATAACAGTACCCGAAAAACAAATTTGGTTACGGATCAAATTCTTCTTGTAACTTTCTCATAATTTAAATTTTTCGGGACGGATACTTTCGAAAAACTCTCCTGTAGATTAATCTCTTCCTTTCATTCTTAATTAATTAACGCCCCAAAATAGCGCTTTATTAATGAAATCGGCCATTTTTTTTACCAAAGGAAAATTATTGGCGTGCTAATGCCATTAAAATTTCAACTTAAACCTTTTTTGGGAGACAAGGGTTAATAATTAGTATAGAATTTCCAACTTCTTATACTAATACATTAATTTTTGTTGTCTAAAGAAGATTTTGTGAAAGAAGTTTGGTTAAAGAGGTTGAGGAATTACTTATTTATTTAATTTAGATTTCTCAAAGAAGGTGTAATGTCTATATGAACGTGGCAACCGAATGTGCTAATTAACTTGGTAGTTTAATATTTTGTTCTCCCTTACTACATCAAATTCCATGCTAAATATAGGTTCCCCAGGGATAGTATTAAGAATACCATGTTTTAACTAAGTTAAAGTCATAGGAATAGTAAGCAAATATAGATTAATCATCGTTGGAAAAGGATTAAATAGACCACGTCTATATTATCCGTCATATAATTAAACGCAAATTGTTAGTTTCATTATAAACTGCCTGCAATGAAACCCCACCGCTACATAGCATTTCGGTGATAAATGCGGGAAATAACAGATGACCATTAAAGGAGAATGTATTGACACAAGTGCGAATAAGGCATCACAATAGCAACCCCTACGCAGTATTTACTACCAATTTTCGTTTGCTCGTTTTCGATGATTCCACGCTAACACGCGCTAATCCGTAATTTAAAATATGAGTATTTTTATTGTACAATTCTTCCAAACTGCGGCCGCATACAGTATAAATTCGTTCCTTGGAAATGTATGGGATTTGCCGTGTGTTTGAAATCAATCTCCTAGATGTGTCACAGACAGGGATGTGTAATAGGAGGGTACAATACGATAAAGTGGTGTTCTCCCCGAACATTATCTACAGACATTTCTTCAAAGAATTTCCTTATATTGACTAAACTGCAAGCTTCGCGCAGACGAGACCACCCCTTTTTACTTTTTTCGTTTTGCTTTTGTACATTCAACGTCAATTCAAAGAAAAATTTTCCACCAGCATTCACTACAATTTGCGCCAACAAAATTATTACGGATATTCATAGGAAAAAACATAATTAAATTCGACTATAGTGGTTGAGATCCTTGATATCAGGTATCCCTTGATCCTCAGGATTAAGCGCGTTATACGATGCGACCCCTATACAACAATGCGTTTTATACGGATTCAGTAGGAAACAACTTGACCCGTCGAAAATAAATATAATTTGAATATTCATGACTGAATTTATAAATAAAAGCCGTACAAAGTTTAATTGTATTAACCCCAAAAACTGTCCCATTTCAATAATAGCATTATTTCATAACTCCAAGTGCCTAATTCAAATATAGATTATATATGGTAATGCGACCATTTTAAGTACCATTAGTGTTTTAGTTTTTAAATAAATTCTATTAGAAAATTTAATTGCGTTAATTCGCTTCCCATTGTTATTTAGAAATCGCATCTGCCCTCTACTAACCCATAAAACTGCCACTGATGGTAAGAACAAGAAAAATATAATCACTTTGTTGGCGAGGAAAGGAGAGGGTATGATGAACGCCCGAGGTTTGACATTGTTCATCTAAAATCAATTGAAAATTATGTGAAACTAGCGCGGAGCATTGAATAAAATGCGTGAAAATTCAATGCGTGGAGCAAGTGAGTTATCGAAAGCCCTCTTATGAGAGAAGGCAGTTCACGAAAAAAAGGGTAGGAATTTTGACATTTTGAAAAGGACAGGGAAAAACGATGGAAGAACCCCAGTAAGACCTACTTTTACTTATATTAAAAATGGGCGAGTTTAAACAACATGTGGAGCCTAATATGTCTATGGCATCAGACTCTGATAAATGGAGGTAGAGCTTTAGTCTGGAATGCTCAATTTAAAGCCATAAACAATTCTCCCCTGCAGTCGCTTAATTAAAATACGCATTAATAATATATTTTACCGCAACATTAAGTCTATCAGTTACAAACCGCTGAAATTGAATATAATTCGCAAATAAGCACTTTGCATGTACGAATTTCCCAAATAGCCGTGAAATAAACTTGTAAATTTGCAATGCGACCGAGCGATCTTGTTGAATTGCACTGTTGCAATTTGAGTTCGCACAAAATTGAAGTTACCGGTTGCATTTCTCAAACTAAACGAACTTTGGGGATGATAAAAGTGAATTAGTTACGCGAATTCTTACCGTCACACGTGCAATATTATTAATGCCTACTTTGGGTTTGGCGAAAGGAGTTTTAGACAAAGTTTTGCGCTGCCGTCGAATTATTCAACTGCAGAAACGGCGTTCTTGATAAAAACATTTTATGGAGTAAGTTTACGTCATGTGCATGACTTATTTGCTAATAGAATTCCCAATTCGAACTTATTTCAAAGTTGAGCACGTAAGATACAAACCTGATAACGACAGGTTACATACGTTGTAGGTGGGTAAGTTGTCATTACTTTGTCAGCTACATATTGATGCGCAAATTTGCTAATTAATTATTTTAGTGCTATGTAAACACCGTTTACATTACACGGAAAATGACATAATAATCAATTGGTTATTTCCATTGTTAATCGTTTGATATTATCGATATAAGGTTATGGAGTGGGCAGTTCACCGAACCGAAGTTGTTTACAATCAACTGACCGCAACTTAATTTATATCAGTTTATCGAGTTTAAAATTTAAACTATTTTAGATATACAAACATATAAAACTAAATAAACGTTTATACCATTATACATGCCATTATTTGACTACCTATTTTTAGCGCATTTTTGAAAAAAAAATACGCTATTATATTCGTTATGGCTGGCTGGCCGGCTGTTCGGGTGAGATCTCATCAACTACAATAGCTAGAGTTTCACTAAAAGCTTTCTGCTATAGGGTAGATGGGCAGGCTCTAGTCTATGTTGAGTTAGATTACTCATGAGATCGATAATTTAAGAAAATAATTTCGATATGGTTTTAGGAGGTGCTCTAATTTTACCGCTACCAGTATAAAAACTTAGTTATTTACTTTGTGATTTGTTTTACAAAATAAAGACGTACCCTCAATTGAAATTAAATAAAATTAATTATTTAACGCAGCCAAAATTAATTGTGAGATCGATAATTTTAAACTTCGCTAATAAAATACTGATCTGTATTACCAAAAATGCGCTTTAATCATGCATATGTTGATTTACAACTTGTTTTCACTACTAGCTTGGTATCACATGATTATTTATTAACCTTTTTTTCACTTGTAAGGTAGGCTTTCTAGGCAGCTTTTGAAAGTGGTTAATAATGAGGTCATTATTGACTACATTTAAAAATGAGAATTGTCACGCTGTCACTTTTAGAGATCTTAACCTGAAATTCGACTAACTAAACGTTTAGACAGAATGAATAATTGCAATTTCCGTCACTTCCATAGAAATTACATGCTTAAACTAATACAGTATGCAGGACCGTAGTGAGAGGGGGGCAAAATTGTTTAATACGCATGCTCTAAATGATCAAATATGAAGAAAGGTGCCTAGTATTCGGAATTATGTCAACTATTAAAATTTGACAATTTCACGTTTGTGAATAAATTATTTTCTCAGCATAGGGTGGCCAAATTTGGTCGTTAGTATGGGGTCACTATTAAACTATGTGTTTTCTGTTTTTGGCTTATCGGAAAAAGTTGCATTTTTCAATTTTTAGATAAAAGTCTATAATTTCTTTGTTTAGTAAGTGGTCATGTTTATTGCAAATAATTGTTGCATAATCTACCGTTTTCAAAAGAAGTATACAGGGTCAAGTAAAAAAGTTATCGGGCCTATCCTCATTTTTTTAAAAGGAACGCCCTGTATATTTTAGTCTAAACAGACAGTATACCAAATTCCTTTTCCAAAAGTATAGCACACCAAAGATGATAATAAAAAAATATTGAAAAGGGTTAAAAACAGTTTTTAAAGATTAAAAATGTTCAAATGATAAAAATACAAAAAAAAATTTTAGTTTATTCCAAATCTTCCTTTTAATGTTTTTGAATTGAATCCATTTAAGAAATGAAGTTAGGTCTGATAACTGACTGCCTGACCCCATACACTTATTTTGAAAAGAGCAGGTTATCAACAATCACGACAAAGAAACTTTTGTAATAAACACATTTCTGTCAATGTCAACTGTCATCTAAAAATCAAAAAATGTAACTTTTGCTCATAACTCAAAAATTTAAGACTGTAGGCCAGTTTGGTTTGCAACATCGGGTTTATCTCAAAACCTTTTTTAAATTTTATATGATCAAAAGGAAGCTTTTAAAAAAAACCTACTAGTTTTATATGGAACAGTTAGTAGTGTTTGGTTGGACTGCTGTGAATGATCATATTCAACAGTGACAGCGACGTATTTGTTTAAATAAAGTATAGATTTACCTAATATGTGTTAAAGCTGTAAAAAAGTGTCCAGAAATACCAAATTTTGCATTTTTAAAACTAGGAAAACGATATTTTTAAAGTGCAACGTTTCTTTTTTCTGTGCACCAATAGACGCCAACACTCAAAAATAAGGGTAGTTGTTATAATATCTAT